GCGTTTCACTCAACGATGTTTCCTATGGCGATTTTCGCTTAAGGACGGCAATCCGTTCCAATTGGAACGGATTAACCGGTTTTCAATGCATTCCTATGGGAAATGGTGTTTCGCAGAACGATGGTTTCACACAGCGATGAATTTTTTGGAACCAATTAACATCATCGTGCGAGGCACCACTGTACTTTAAATGCAACTCTTGTTAAAGTTTAACCATCTAACAGATTTCTGATCTACGTTAGATTCCCTCCGTCCAGCACTGAAACCCAACAACTTACCTCTTTCTTTAGAATAAGTTCTGCATTCTCTCCATGAATATTTTCTGACTTTAGAATTTCTTGTACATTATGACATTTCAGTTTTCTACAGCTTTTTTGTGGTCATGATCAGGTTTACATACCTCACTACTCTCGTACTCCTCATAATCTGTAGAAAGGGAAGCTGTTTCTGTGTCCTATGGAAAATAAATTAGGTCACATTTGGCCAGTAACTCATTTGGTCATGCTGGTTTACTGTTTATCCAAGGAAAATAACTATGACTAAAATGAATTAGAGAAAAAGACCCTCCCCCACTTTTTTGCCATGACATGTGCTTCAGAGGCAAGACCTCTTACACTTTAAGAAAAGCAAGAAGTCACTTAATTTGACCAGTTTCTTAGAAACAGGAAGATACAACAATAAAGATAATAAAAACATTTTTGCACTTACCATACTTCTGGTTTCCTGCATTGGCTCATGGACATGTTGCTTCAACACATTTAACAACTTGTTTGCCTGTAAAATTGTTACGCCATAATTTTCAGACTAGGTATGTGAAATTTTATTTCATAAATTTTCAGTACACAAAGCATTAAAAATAATATTAAGGTTAAATACACAAAATGATTGGTAGCAGAAATGTTCATTAATAATAGCAGCTTTGTCTTTAAACAATTACAGTATAAGAATTTGTGAAGTGTCTGCAAGTTGGACTGTTATTCTGGAAGGATTAGCTATTTAAAATTTGGAAATAGTCATTTTAATCCTTAGCAGCAGAGAATTTTAAAAGTACTCTAAAAGGTCAGGTATTTACCATTTCTGTACCCAAAAGATAATCAAGAAAAAAGATATTTTCCCCACCCAACATAATATTGTACTTTTCTCCCCGATCAATATAAATGTTGTACATTCCTATAAAAAAGGATCCCGGAAACAGGGTTAACTTCACAAACACATTCCAAGAACGCAAGAAAATCCGCGACACCCCCCCCACAAAAAAAAAAAACCTCGAGAAAATTGTTGTTTTTTGCCCCTTGCCACTCTCTTATCGCATGCAGCTTGTGGAGAGTATAGGGATAAAAAATGCACAGGACTGAGGGAAGCAATTTGTTCTTTCCTCACGCTCATGACTTTTGTTTACGAAACATTTTAGGACAGGAAAGACCTTGGAACGTGGCTTTGGGATAGAAAAATGCCTTCCTATCATATCAATTTTTCTTCTGCTCGAAAGGGCGAGCGACCAATACGCTGTCATTGAAAGACACTGGAGAAAAATACACTGAGGAAAAATGAGGTAGATCGTTCGCCCCGCCGATTTCCCATCCTTTCTAGGGTTTCAGACTCAGCAGACAAATCGGACTCCTCGAGGTAGTTAAAAACTCACCTCGTTCACCATGGATTTGAATCCCTTCAAGCCTCAAGGCACTTGGCCGAAACTCGCCCGACTGTTAAAAGCATAGGAGCAAAGCTAAAAATAAGGCCTTTTTAGAGGATCAAAGATGCCTTTTTTCCAGCAAGAGAAAATCTCTTCCCCGCCCGCCCCGCGAAGGCTTGTTTTAACCAAATAACCTCGTATTAAACCTTGTATTAAACTTTTCCCTTCCAACGCTCGCACCTTGAGATTGGCTCTCAGCCCCAAAACCTTGGCCAGTCGCTGCAGCTCGCTGTACTTCAGCGTCTCCAACTGCTCCGAGGTGGGAACCTCCATGATGGGGAATAATCGCACAAACCGCCCGCCTGCCTCCAACCGACGAGTAACAGCTCGGGGCCTCCCCGGTTCAACGGTCCGGCGGGCGCGCGGCCACCCTTCGAAATCGCGGCTGCTCGCACTCCATTGGCGGAACCTTCACGGAAGGGGGTGGAGCTCAAAAAAAGGTTCCAGACCAATGGGATGAAAAGGTTTGCCTTAAAAAAAAAAAAAGGCGCGGCCGTATTTTGGGCTTCCGCCACCAACTTCGGAGAAAACAGAGGCACCGCTCGGAAACAGGATTGGGTAAAATAAATTGTGGGCGGGGCAGTGTCCAATCCACGAGGGCAATGGGTGTCCCATCGGATGGCGCGAATGAGGAAATGCTCCAATAGGCGCAACAGGAGGCGGGAACGGGGTTTGAATGTTTGGCGGAAAAAACAAGATGGCGGTACGGAGGCAGCTGAGGCTTCTTTTTCAGGAGCCCCAAGTGGGTGGTGCAATTACGGTAGAGCGAACGGAACTTGGGACCGGCGAATATCCCCGGCCGCAGCAACGTATGAAGACGCCGGAGGATGCCAGGAAGTGGGTTCCGGGGCTTCGGGGACTCAGGTTGGAGGACTGCGCGGTGTACCAGTGCCGGAGGTGCCGTGCAGTACTAGGGGACTCGCTCCACCTGTGCGCTCAGGAGGGGACTCTCCGCCTTCTTGTTTGCTTCAGTGAGTTCCTTAGAATCTTGACAGCTCGGAGGGTCGCGAGAAAGGAAAAAAAAGAAAAGGGCAAAGCTGCACATCCTGTTAACCGCGATCGTTCCAGTTACATATACAGTACCGGGTAGAGATCGAGTCTGCAGACTCCCAATTTCTCCTACCCCAGAAACGCGAAACAGTTGTGTGAGGTAGCCTGAAAGGAGACACAATATTACGGTATCGTAAAATCTCACGGGTTTTATATAGCGCAAGCTTTTTTTGTGACTGCAACTCGCTGCTTCCGATGTATTATTTATACCAAATAAAACTTGGAGATTTTAAACTGTGACGGAAATCTGCTGGGTTTGCTGCTGCATAGTACACTATAGGTTAACAGTGCTGGTCCTCTGGAAATTGGGTCCGAGCCCATGTCACCCAATGATGTTTTTAAATCACTGCGTGGCACTTTGATCAGAGGTTTTCTAGGTATAGTCTGAGACTTGATTTCTGTGTCACTGCACAAAAGGTCAGTTTGTTTGACAGCTGCACTATACAGTATGTTTTAAATTTAATAGAAACCATAAAAGGGTTAACATTGGAATGGATTTTGTAACACAGGATAATTAATACTGTGATTAGCCCACTACAGTCATTTTCAATGAGAAAAAAATGTCAATGATTTTAAAGGGGGTGAGATTTTAATTTAGGCTATAGTTCATTTTACAGTATTTCCCTCATTCAGAAATGTCTGTAATGGCATATGTTATGCTAAAATTTTGATGATTCTAGCAGTACATGCCTTTGATCTGCAACAATGAATGCTGGAAATATTGCTTCTTTTTAATGAACTCTGTTACATAAATGATACATGAGTCTAAAGAAGGAACAAAAGGTAAATTAAAAACATGTTTATAGCGAGCATCACTTAATTTTCAAATATTTTCTTCTTTCAGAAGTCACAGATGATGTTGTTGTGGAAGATAACTTAATGGTCTGTGTTGAAGGAGATCTCATTGGATGGTGGGTACTGGAGGAGGGTTAATTCAGAGACATGTTTTGTAATTCAAGTGACCATTAAGAAACTTACATAGCCATGTAAAAAAATCACCCAGCAAGTGAATGATGTAAGTTGGCACTTGGGATAATACTGCTTTGTCAAACCTGCTTTTGTTTTTCAAAGTGAAATGCCTAGCTAAATAAATTGCCCTTTCAGATGAACATCATTTGATTAAGTGAAGCAGTTCTTTTTAGAAATGAACAAAGGAGAGAATGAGAACATGTTTGTCTTTATGCTCAGAAGCTTTTCTAATCTCACCTTATCTTTCTCAAGATAACTTGCTTATAATGATAAATATTTCTTATATACAAATATTAGCAGGATTGATGAAAGCAGAGAGCTGATAAAAATTAACTCTAGCATCTTTTTGATTGCTTCCATGTGTACCAACTCTTTCCTAGATAAAGAAATCTGCAGGGAATGACTGAGATTTATTAAAAAATGCATGATGTGGAGGAAATAATACAGTACATGTCTCTTTCACTCATATTAGCTGGATGTAAGTCATCTTGAGAAGTTTTCTGTGATGCGGGAAGAGGCAAATGGGACCATACACGCAAGCCCTCCACCAACCTTTCTATATTCTTGAAGGTCTGAAGTGAGTATTTGGCTAATTTTGCCTAGAAGTCGCTCCTCATCCAGGAGTTTTAATATCACAGTGTGGCTTCTATGCAGGTTCAGCCTATGTTATTTAGAATCTCACTTCAGATCTCTGCACTAAACATACAGACATTGGAATTGAGTAGGCTGGGCAAGCAATGCACTGCATTGGTAGATGGAGCCAGCTTATGTAGAACCAGACATTAGCTTTATGATGTAGAAAGGACAATAACTTGCACAACATGTGCATATATTATGGAGTTTGCTGACACAAGATGTGACAATGAATGCAAAGGTAAGTGGCTTTAAAGTCTACAAATAGCCATGTGTAACTTCCAGGTTCAGAAGTAGTAGATCATTGAATATTGGCTTCTGGGGAACAAGAACAGACAAGGACTGTTGCTTTTATACATGCTCAGCTGCCACCTGCATGGACTTCTTGAATTGTAAAAGTCAATTAGATTGGTGGCTGCAAGATACACAAATCTGGTGGCTTTGTTTGTGGAACTCCATCCTATAGAATTTACCTACTTTTAAATGTGACTTTAAAATCTTTTTATTCTAGTCTGTTTTTAATTTGGAGTTTTAACTGTTACTGCCTTCCTCCCCAGCACCTACAACATGTTAAACTGTCGGTCATGTGGGACAGGTGTTGGCTTCAAGCTCTACTGTTCAAAATCTCTTGCTTATCTGCGAGGCCTCTTCTGCCTTTTCAAGGACAGCATTATATGGTTAGTCTCCTCCAGGTGTCTGCTGAATTACTTAGAAAATTCAAACGTTAACCTCTAATAAGAATGTCTGTTATGATACCCTGAAACCCTCCATCCAAACCTAAGAGTTGGTAAGTTAATGCTCTTTTTATTTACAGATATGTGAACATTTTCAAGATATGTTTCATAAATTTGTTCTGATTGATGGCACCTCACACCTGTACTGCAAGCTAAACTGCACATTTGTGAACTGGGCATCATTTCTAACAAAAAAAATTATGTGACAGTAGCAACACGATACTGCTGAGGCTTCATCTGTAACAGACATTGCAATCGAAGCTTAGGAGATTTATTGATTTGTTACTATCTCCTTGGAATGGGACTTTAGAATTTTTGTTTCTTTAGATTAACAGCAAATTCATTCAACTATGTATAGAATTACTGCATTTTTATTTCATTAATTTTCTTCTTAAAAACAGAAAAGTAGAGGTATGTCTCAAGTCTCTAGAGAAGACTTTCAAAATGCACTGTCAGTCAAACATGAAAGCTGATGTAATATGAGTTTCTAACTTGCCTTTCTCTTGATGAGGGGAATCAAGGTGGCTCAGATTGTTAAAATGAGCAAAATTAAAAACACAGTAAACAATTAAGTAATAATATTTAAAATATATCAGGGGATTCAAAATATTTAAAAGTTTAAAAACAAACTTATTTAATTGAAACCAGCGTCCTGGGACTCGGTTATGCCCAGCTGTAGAAGTGGGTATTCAGCTGTCAGCAGAAGGATAAAAGGTAGAAGCTCTCAGAGATAGCATTACATAACCTGGGAGCAGCCACCAACAAGGACCTCTCTCATGTCCCCATCAAACATACTGTATTTTTTGCACCATAAGACTCACTTTTTTCCCACAAAACAGGGGGGTGGAAAGTCTGTGCGTCTTATGGAGTGAAGAAAACAGATTATATTTTCCTGTTTTCTTCTCCTAAAAAATCGGTGCGTCTTATGGAAAGGTGCGTCTTATGGAGCGAAAAATACGGTACCTGCTTAAGGACCATGAAGGCTCAGAGGGGGAGATATGGTCCTTCAGATAGCCCGGACCCAAACTATAGAAGGGAGTTACAGGTAATAACCATCACTTTGAACTGGGTCTGGAAACAAACCGGTAGCCAGCACAGTTGTTGTAGCAGAGATGGTATATGCTTCCTCAAATTGGCTTCAGTCAGCAGTTTGGCTGCTGCTTTTTGAACCATCTAGTTTCCAAACCATGTTCAAAAGAAACTTCACATAAAGTGTGTTGCAGTAATCCAAACAAGATGTAACTAAGACGTGATTCACTGTAGTCAAATCAGACATCTCAAGGAATGGGCACAGTTGGCACACTAGCTTTAAACCTGCAAATACATTCCTGGCCACGGCCAAAACCTGGCATCCAGGCTCAGGGATGAATGAGTTTTCGGGGGAGCATAACCCCATCCAGCACAGGTTGCATCCGTGTTTCCTCATGTGCCTTCCGATTGACTAGGAGCACCTCTTGTCTGGATTGTTTCAGTTTCTTTGCCCTCATCCAGTCCATTGCTGTCATTAGGCACCAGTTTAGATCTGAGACAGCTTCCTTGGAATTAGATGGAAAGGAGAAATAGAGTTGGGTCTTATCATCATTCTGGTTGGCACTGAACCCAAAAACATGAGGCAACCTTTCCTGGTAGTTCCATGTACATGTTAAATAGCATGGGGTGCAAAATCAGAACCACAGGCCAATAGCCAGGTCATCGAACAGGCATGTCCCCAGTGCCACCTTCTGAGTTCTTCCCTCCAATAAAACCAGTGCCTCCAAGTCCTGGCCAGAAAGATGCCATGGTTGATGATATTGAACATTGTTGAAAGGCCCAGTAGAAACAACAGGGACACACACTCCTGTACTGTCCCCGTCTTAGGTTACGCACCAAGGTGACCAAAGCTGTCTGGGTCCCATAGCCAGGGACTAGGCATAGGTCTGGAGAATCCACTTCATCTAAAAATCCTTGGAGCTGAGAAACCATCACATGAGTTAGTACCTTGCCCAGAAAAGGAACATCTGAGACTGGACGATATTAATCCAGTAATGAAGGAAAGTTTTTAAATAATGGTCTTACTTTCCTCACTTACTTGTACATTCCCTCCTCTGCCTGCTTTTATAAGCCAGAAAGGGCAAGGTCTAGCACACATGTGGTGGGTTGAAATCCAGCGTTGGACCAATGGGACTTCCCCCAGCAGCTCTCCTTGGATCTCCAACCCTCTGAACCAGATTTTGAGGATATGTATCCCTGCAGAGAGGAAAGGAAGTTGCTTCCTCTGCAGTCCATGGAGGGAAATGGTTCCACTGACAGGAGGATTAATTGGATAAAAACCAGTTTTATACCAAAGTAAATTGCAGTAAGAGTAGGCACATAATGAATAACAATAATAAAAAAACTCCTGGAGTAACTGACTCACAAAATCCCCATTAAATAAGTGGGCCTACTGTAGTGCACATTTATTATGCTAATCAGGATTTTGGCCAATGATTGCCAAGTGAATATTTTTGAAGTATTTTAATTTGTTTTTTTAGTTACTTGTTAAAAACTAAAACCACAGTTGAAGCCTCAAAGGTGATCTGCCCTCCAGTGAGCCTGAAGGACCATGTACAAAAGGTAATATTTTGAGTGTGTGTTCTCTCTGTGTGCGCGCGTGTGTAAATAACTTTTAATCTATACATATGTATGTCTGGACTTGCCACAAATAGATGACGATGCAAGTAGAACAAGTCAAAAATATGTAAATTGTGAAACATGTTGAATACCCTGCCATCAATGTAATCCTCCCAACAGAGAGTAATGTATAAATACCTTTCTTGGTAAATAATAGTCTAAATCTTTCTGATGTTGATGGGATGTACCTGTTTTTGTCATTTTGTTTGTTTGTTTCTGTTTAAACAAATTTTAAAATATGAAATAGATACAAACACAAATCTGTCCAGCTCAGGAAATACTGTATATGATGAAGCTAACACATGGGCAACATTAGGATAATTGGGTACAAAGGCTGTAGCACTGAGAATTCTGTAATTACACTGTGCTCTAGGAAATTTCTCTTCAAAATTTAAGGCATGATGCCAGAGATGCAAAACTTGAAATATTGGTTGTTTAATATTCTGAAGAAAACACATTTATGTGGCCATAGGTTTATTCATGTGAGTCATTTTGTCACCCAGGTTTGTGTTAGAGCTTTTCCATGAGGGCAAGGTGCCAGACTCGGTTGAGCCAATTGCTAATATTGTGTCCATCTAATAATTTCCACCTCTGCATTACCACCTGTCTTGCTCAGCATCAAGAAGAGAGATGAGCTCCTTGTGCAATAGATGCTTGTTTCCTGCAGTGAAACAGTTCAATGGATTTAAATGGGGAAAACAAAAAATCACCAAAAATTAATGGAGACTCAGAACAAAGCCAAATTAAGTTTGCACATGTTTCACAAGGTGCAGTACCGATTCCAAGCATTTAAAACAGGTTTCAAACATTTTAGGACACTTAAAAATGAGCGAAAACGGACATCGGAAAGCCATTGAAATGCATTGAGTCGGCTTCAATGTATTTCAGTAGCTGTCTGATGGGGGAAACATTGTTTCGCTTAGCGATGTTTCCTATGGGGATTTTCGCCTAAGGACGGTAATCGTTCCCATTGGAACAGATTAACCGGTTTTCAATGCATTCCTATGGGAAATGGTGTTTCGCTTCACGATGTTTTCCTATAGCGATGTTTTTTTTTGAACCAATTAACATCGTTAAGCAAGGCACCACTGTATGTCTCAAAGAGCTGATAGCTTCGGCAATTCAGCTCCCATGTGTAATAAAGTCCTTTGTCCCCATAGCTCCTCCAGTGCTGTGGTGATATTTCTGCCACAAACCTAGACAATCTTGTAGGACAAAGCAGTGGATAGTCTTCAGAGTATTTTCTTCGAGTGCCATATACTTTGCTCTAAAAAACAGTGGAAGATCAGATATTGGATCATTCCTTGTTTAAGCGTTCAGATTGTAAATTGGCTTCCCATGTTAATCTTGACTGAATCAAGAAACTGTAGAGGTTCTATCAGCTACTGTTCCATGGTGTCTTACAATTTTTTTAGGGCAGTGAGGGACTATTTATTTATTTGATTCTTTATTGATGTTGTTGTGTGCCTGTGAAATGTTAAACTCTTAATTATTTGAAGCCAAGTGGAGTAGAATCACTAGTTGTTCTGTTAGACCTAGATATTAGATGCCTGACTCTCCCTCAGAGGCCTACAGAAATTCCATAGACCTCCAGGGAGGTCCAGAAGCCTATGTTCATCATAGGCATTTATCCCAATAAAGGGTTAATCCCAGAATAAAACCAAACATGGCTCATTCCAGAAACCTTGTGGTACCTGAGAAGAGTCCCTTTACATGACTCCCTGCAGTAATGTTAGCCTAGTTGTGAGAAGAGAACTTCTAGTGTGAGGAATTGTGTCATGGATTCTCATGAATTTGATGACCTTTGACATCATGTTAGTAATTGGAAAAGAGTTGTGCTGCAATGAGTTCCATGTGTTTAGTCGTTTAGTCGTGTCCGACTCTTCGTGACCCCATGGACCAGAGCACGCCAGGCCCTCCTATCTTCCACTGCCTCCCGGAGTTGTGTCAGATTCATGTTGGTTGCTTCGCAGACACTGTCCAGCCAGCTCATCCTCGGTCGTCCCCTTCTCCTCTTGCCGTCACAACTTCCTAACATCAAGGTTTTTTCCAAGGACTCTTTTCTTCTCATGAGATGGCCAAAGTACTGGAGCCTCAGCTTCAGGATCTGTCCTTCCAGTGAGCA